AGTGCTAAAAGCTTGAGCTGCTACCACTTGAACTAAAGCTTGCTAGTAGCAGCTTTGATGTGCACAAATTACCCACAGATGAGGCATGGAGGGCAAGCTGTAATCTATTTTCAATAGCATCTTAAGAGGAGGGAATCTTTTGGCTTCAGAGTAAGTAACCATTTGTTGTAGTTACTGGTAACATTAACTATAACAAAGGCATGTGGCTTGTATGACTAGATGAGAACCAGCTGAAAGTGAAAAAGTGATGACAAACTTCCTTTGATATCCAGTTGTCTATATCACGGGGCTCATTGGAGGGAGCAACTTATGCACATATCCAGAAATGAATAAAAACAACTGGTCTAGAAAGTGTTAAGGGGTTGATCCTATGTTCCTTTAAATTGGTGGCAAAGCTTCATTTGATTTTAATGGAGCAGGAGCTGAATCTAAGTGAGAATAACTTTTAAGAATATGTACAACCTCCCCCTCCCCATATCCTTACTAAAAGATCCACCATTGTTTTATTTGCAGTGAGTGAAGCTTGTACCAATTTGTTTGTAATTCAATCATAAAGAAAGCACAAAGCATCTCAGATTATCAGATGAAGCCAAGTAACTTGTAAGCTCTACTTTCTCCTGAGAATCCTATTATGAAATTCAACAGCCATATCATGATAAGGTTTTTGTCGCAAAATCTCTTTGTATATAGAATGTACACCGCAGCACTGTAACTGAAAAAAGCATTGACCCCTTGCTTGATGAGCCCAAATTTAGCCTCCATAAAAAATCCATCCAAATTTTGCTCTCAGTAAGGAAAAAACATATGTGGTTTTATACAAAATACTAAGTGACATGCATTTTACCCCAATATTGTGTTACTTGTAAGAAAAATATGCAGACAAAAATTCTGAAGGGTTAAAAAAGATGGGAAATTTATTAAAAGGGGATAGGCATGAGCTTTGCTTTCAAGGATGAAACAGCTTTGCTGGTTAATAAAAAAAAGGGCAATAAATTCCATTTATTATTTATATTCTCAAGAGCTCCTAGAGATTTTGATCATTTCCATCGTGTTAAACTATTTGGTTAAACATTGGAATGCCCAGATGTGCATTTTAAGAGGCTAGTAGAAAGGAGATTTTTTCCGTGCTCTTCCACAAAAGTTTCTCCCTCTTTCTACAGCTCAGAGCCCATTACAGCAGTGTTCTTGGCCTCTGGAACCTTTACAAGACCTACAGGAGTTCTTCAGCCAGACCAATATATTTCATTGTGTGTATGCCCACATATCTGCATTAGGTGCCCACATGTTGGCGGGGGGGGAGAAGCAAATCTTTGTTTATTTGTGCTTAATGCCAACATCTGCATATGCTCAATATGTGATTTTTCACACTCCTAAATCAGACAAGACTCTTCTCCTCTCTGCGGGCATATTTAAATTTTCTACCTCAAGCCAGTATAGCCATCCCTCAAACAGTTGAAAAGCTTGTATTATGAATTCTTCTTGTACTCAAATGTAGCAGCCCTGCAGTGTTGGCAAATGTGTCATTTTATTGAAAGTCTTGTTTTATTTGGTGCTTGATTTACAAGCAGGATTTAGGCGCCTATAGGTGCCTCAGACCAAAATTTAGAACTATACTACCACAACCTAACCCTAGAGTCACATACATTTCCTAGTGCCTAAATTTCCACTTGTAAGGGCTACCAGGTATATTTCTTCCAGCAGGCATGTGTAGATCTGCCTTAAATCTTGAAAGCACCTTGCAATTAAAGAATTTTTTTGCAAAAATCTTGTTGGTCTAATAAAAGATGTCATCTCTACTATGAGTCCTGATTGCCAAGTCTCCACAAGATTTCCCCAGCTGTTTGGGAGGAGCCAGTCCCACATTTGGCCTGTTCTGGGGCCTGGTCTAAAGGGCATGTTCTGATCATACCTAACACTCTTGCCTTGTGAGCACAGAGATAGTGAGGCATGGTAGTCTGAAGTCAGGCAGAAGGCAAGGCAGGGAGGCCTCTTAGAGACTAACTGATTCAAAAAAAGCATGAGCTTTCATAGGCAGCAACATACTTCATCAGATATGCAGCTTATGCCTCTTAACCAGGTCGTTTCTAAGATGCCCTACTTGCTTTGTGAGATTCCAGTACTATGGGGATTGAAATGGATACTGTGTAGACCAGTAAGGAAATAGTTGTTGAAAATCTGGAAATTGTAGGTTATAGAAGCACCAGGGAAAAGAAATAAGAAATGTCAATGTTAAGAATGGGAAAGGATGTGAGTAGCAGGGTAATGAGGAGAAATTTCAGATGAGGAAGCCAAAAGATATTTCTGAGTTAATAAGATCTTAAAGAGAAAGTGTGAGAGAGAGAGAGAGACTAAGTGTCTAAAGGACACTTCATTTCAAGCGAGACAGAATAATTTACAGAAAGTTCAGAGGAGAGGAATAAAACCAATGAAAAGTTTGGAAAAAATAAGACGTACGAAGAAGGGTTAAGAGAGCTGGGCCTGTTCTCCATGGAGAGAAAAAAGCTTAAGTGAAACATAATTGCCTACACCTATGATCAGGAAAGTTATAAAGGAAACAAGGTTGTATTTATGAGTAATGGACTTAACCCACAGAGGATTATGAGGAGTAACTTCATATTTACCACAGTCCTCTTCATGGAAGGGCTGTAGTGAATAAACATTTAAATTCTCCACCCTTCTTTCCATCTAACATAAATTCTGCCTTCCCCTCTCTGCCTCCTCCAGACCCAGACTTCCCCCTTCCTTATTAAAGGGTAGACAAGTTTGCAATGAACCAAACCCATTTTACTCACCAATTTTATAGCACTGCTGGTCCAACCTGTCCACTGTGTCACATGGATGCCTCAGTGTTTGTCGTTTCTGCTTCAGGGCTTGCTGATACTTGATCCAGTAGTGAGGTCAGTTCCTGACAGCAGAGATAAAAGCTAGATTTAATTTCAGGTTCATAGACCGGCAGAGGAGAGAGGGATTTTCCAGAGGGAGATAGGGACTATTGCTTTCAGCTGGCATAATGCCCCATAGCAGTGTGTTGAATCCTTAGAAAATGACTATTTGGAATGTGTGAGCCACTCTCTGGGAACCAATAACTCTACTCCAGGGGTGGGCAAAATGCAGCCGGGGGCCAGATGTGGCCCACCAGGCCATTCTATCCGGCCCATGGGGCCCCTAAAAAATTTTAAAAATTAATATTTATCTGCCCTAGGCTGCCTGTCATGCGGCCCTCAATGGCTTCACAAAATTCAGTAAGCGGCCCTCTGCCCAAAATAATTGCCCGCCCCTGCTCTACTCAGAATGAGGGCAGAGTCCTTGCCCCAGAGTGGGAGCTGCCCTTCCCCAGGCCTAGCCCAAATGGGTATTGTGATTCAGACAGTGCATACTTCCTTCCGTGCACCTCCCTTGCTCTGGCATAAGGCATACACTACTCAATTCCCTTCAATTACAGCTTACCCATCTTTCCTCCCATGCACTTTCCTCCTACCTTCCACCCAGCTCTGCCCATTCTTTCCCCTGCTTTCTCTTCACAACCTCAGTGGCAACACCAAACTCACACTCTTTTGCACCACCAGCTAAAAGCCAGGGGCAACTTAATGCCAAGGATTAGCCAGCCTCTTGTTGATTAAGCTGTAGAAACAAAACAATATTGTTTAGTATCATGAGTCACTATAGGAGCAAACTATGGAAAAGGTTGCCAAGGGTGATTGTAAAGTCACATTACCAGGGATATGCAGGACTAAATTGACCACGTCTACATGAGACAATGCAGTAGTGTTGGGGGGGCACTAATTGTGATACAATGCTACTGCACAGTAGCTCATTGCTACTGTGCAGTAGCATCAGAAAAAAACTGTGCAGGGACCCTACTGCACAGTAACGCTGTACTTGCTTATGCAAGTACTAAATGACTGCACAGTAGTAACTGCGCAGTCTGCCGCTTGTGTAGACATATGGCCACTGAGGTCAGTGGGGCAGGTCTGAGATTACTGACTTGAGTCCTGTTACTATTTAGGAAGTAGCCTTGATGGCCCAATGGAGCTTTTCTCTAAGCAGATGCTCCAGTATCCACTGGAATTGTCAGCTGCAACATCTGATTAGATCAAATCAGATTTGCATGAGTGACTTTTGAGGGGAGACAACCCTAGCACCATTACTTGTCTCCATGCAGGTGCACTGGGGAGGGTATAGAGGTCCGGCCATCTCTTCTCTTGCACAATATGTGTGAGGGCCAGGCATGATATGAGTCACTGTGCTGGGAAAAGCACCAAGACTGCTCCTCTAGGTGTGCACATCTTCCAAGAGTGGGGAAGAAAGACCCATAGTTCTTGTCCCCCCCATGTTAGCCAGCAGTGCAGGAATAGCAAACTGCACCCACCAAGTGTGGGTAAAAAAACCCCAGTGAGATGATGGGAGGAGTAAGTTACTACTCAGTGGGCACATCTACACAAGATGCTAACTGCACGGCAGCCTAATAACAGTACACAGTAGCGTGCTGGGCAAAAACCATGCTAATACACTACCGCACAGTAGTACTAAGCTACTGCGCAGTAAGTGTCAGTAAATAGCCGTGCACCAGCATTACTGTGCAGTAGTGCATGTTACAGCTCATTAAGTTTAGTGCTTGTTTAACCAAGTACTAAATCAATGCACAGTAACTACGACACATTAATGAATGTGTAGATGCGCCCGTTGAAGCAAATAAAGCTGGATTGAAAACTCCAAATCAGTAAACATTACTTTATATACTGCAGTCAGAACCTAACAATTAAAGAAAAGAGCTTGTGTCAAGTAGTACCATACCTGGACACCTGGCGGCCCCGGATGAACTTTAGTATCAGGCCCCGCTTTTCCAGAGGTAATGATAATAATGATAAAAATTACCATTTTTGGGCCCCCTTTCTGTATGGGCCCTGGATGGGGGCCTGGTTCACCCATGCCTGTGTCCAGCCCCGGTATCAAGATATATTTATTTTTCTTCTCTTTTTTCCCCCCCACCACTTCTCCAGGTTTTTCCACCATGTTTGGGAAGAAAAAGAAAAGGCTTGAAATTTCTGGACCCTCTAACTTTGAGCACCGGGTTCACACTGGATTTGATCACAGAGAACAGAAGTTCACTGGTCTGCCTCAGCAGTGGCACAGTTTGCTTGCAGACACGGCAAACAGGCCGAAGCCTATGGTGGACCCTTCATGTATCACTCCTATCCAGCTGGCTCCTATGAAGGTAATGCACAGGTTCTGTGTTTCCTCTTGCCTTTGAGTAGGGCTTAGTTTAGTTCTATGGGGGTAATACTACTGCCTCTTTTCCAGAAGGAATGAGAATTATGCTTGTTCTTACACAAAAAGCATATTTACAGGCCCCAGAGCTGCAATTGATAGCAGATGGATTTACAGCTGTGCCTCCATGGACTCCCACTGGTACAACCATGGCTCAGCCCAGGCACAGCCCTCTACCTGCCTAGTACTGATTGCAGAAATGGAGCCAGATTTTGCTGTACTATTAGTCAGTCAATTTTCTTCCTTTCTGACTATGTGCATGGGACTAAATCTAACCTTGAGAGTCAGTGAAAGCACTGGTATTTATTCCAGCATAACCAGGATATATGTGTTTTGTGCTCTGTATTTTTTTTTTAGTTGTGAGCATTTCTAATAATGAGATGGCCTCCAGCTGGGATCCAGATCACAGTAGGCTACGTCCTGTACAGACAAGAAGGAAGGTGCTGTCCCTATGACTACATAAATTAGCACGAGGTATACAAACTACTAGGCGTGTCTGCACAAAATTTTTACTGTAGAGCTGCCAAATTAGCTCAACAGTAAACGTCTTGGCATCTACACATGTAAATACAAGTACTACCCTGCTGCAGTGTTTTTCCATGTGCAGCAGCGCATGTGTAGACACTGACTCACCTGGCTGGGGCACAAGGGTGCTTTAGTGCAGGATCTGGCTGCCAGCTAGCTCCACACTGAAGCACCCTCATGCCCCAGTCAGCCCCTCTGCAGCACGTTGAGCCAGGTTGGAACAACCCCAGGCTTGTAGACTGACACCCCCCCTCCCCCTTCCTCCTCCCTGGACTCCCTGCTAGCCAGAGCTACTCTGACCCAGCTCAACATGCTGTGGTCCCACACCATAATCAAATGGCGTGCCTGGGAGCAATAAACTCCAGTGTGGTATATACCAGAGTTTATTGCTGCATGTTAATTGCATGTGTAGACACACCCACTGAGGAGCAGAACAAATCCAACTACTCTGTACTATGACCAAAGGAGGAAAATTATAGCTACTACATTTTTAAAGCAGCTAAAATGACCCCAAATAGTTTTTCCTGCATAAAACTGCTGTGAGCTGTTCAGGGTCCCTAATTCCCCTGAGTTCGCAGTTACCCTATATGTTCCCAATTAACAGGAAGTAGAGCCTTAATTGCAGCTAAGATTCTCCTTGATATGCTTTCCCCATGTCTGCAATTGTCCCACAGTAGGAGTGTCAAACATATATCCCATGAGCTGGATCTGGCCCATGGAGTTGTATCATCTGATTTGCAGGGCTCCAGAAATTTGGTAGCTGGATGAGTAGTAGCAACATTAATTGCCCCAGCTCCCAGAGCTGTGGCAGCCACTACTCATCCCACTGTCACATTTCTGACTCATGGATGAGATGATCATTGGTGAGATGATATGGCTGTCTGCTCAGGATCTGGCCTGCAAAGCCAGAAGTGTGGCAGCAGGGGTGAGTGGTAGCAACATTAATTGTCATCTTTTTTGAAGACATGGCAATTAATACTGCTGTCACAAAATTTACAGCTCTGTGGGCCAGATGACATGGTTCCATGCTCTGGGTCAGCCCGTGGACTGGCCTCGGGAGACTCCTCTAACCTGCAAATGCTAGAGGAGAATTATTACAGCTGTAAAAGGCTACATAATAAAAATACCTATTTGTAAAAGAGGTAGATAATGATTGGAAAAAGTTTTGGAACCTTTGGTATGGGTTATTTGGGAGGAAAAGCACCAATTTGGGTGGAAAGAAAACATTTTTTTTTAAAGAAAAAAATTAGATTGGCTATATGAAAGTCCTTTAAAAGTTTGACATTTTAGAATAAATTCAAGAAAGATGGATTAGAAGGCAACATGCAAGAAAGACCTTCAAAGGTGAGCTAAAAAAAATGTGTGTTCAGTTGACTGTACACTATATCACATATGTAGTGCTTACATGCATGTGATGTATTTTTATGGATTCACACAGTCTTTCTCTTACACTTCCTCATGCACATACATTACACGGGCCTAAAAATAGTTGTGCGGTTTAGAATTCTGAATTTGTTTCCATCAATGAAGAAAAAAAATTCTGAGAGCATAAGCCCTTCGTTTTTGTTTATTAAATGTTCCTTGCCGAATTCGCATTTGCCACCAACTCCTGAGTAATGCTTGCTACCTGCTCAGCCACACTTACCGTGGAATGTTACAGAAAAAAGAGAAAAAGAGAAAAATATGACTTCCGCTCTGAGGAAAGTATATCATTGTGTGAAAAAGACACTGGAGTAATAGAAAAACCAGGCAAGCCCTTGCTTGCTAGATATGAATGAAAATAAGGGCATCCATATTCTGCAGGCCTTCTGAGCACCAAATGTCCACAGGGCATTGTGGTATGAGTGAACAAAGATGTTTTAAAAAATGAAAAATCAGATTGTTTGCTTGCTGAAATGCCATCCGTCTTGTGGAATTTGGGAAATGATAAATCTGTAACTTTAAAATGTCTCAAAATGTATTAGTTCTGTCAGCTAATATACACAGTATAAATTATGGACTCCATCCTATAAATACACATGTGACTAGCTATGTTTAGGTGAGTAATCCTAGTGAAGCTGTGTGCCCATATGCTTACAGGTTTGTAGACCATGCCCTTAAGATGAACTGAAGAGTTTTGTGTTGTTTAAAGGCAAAACCGGGTGCAGTCGGATAGCCAAAATCATTTTCAATTGGCATTAAGAAAGTGTCTCTTCATACTTCTTAACATTTGTTTGTGTTGACCCTGAAAATGATACAGGATTCAACTCAGAAAAGATTAAACTCCCATTCATAGATTCATAGACGTAGGGTCGGAAGGGACCTTGTAGATCTTCTAGTCTGACCCCCTGCCCTGGGCAGGAGAGAAAACTGGGCTCAAATGACCCCAGCCAGGTAAACGTCAAGCCTCCTCTTAAAGACCTCCAGGGTAGGAGCGAGCACCACTTCCCTTGGAAGTTGGTTCCAGATCCTAGCCGCCCTGACTGTGAAATAGTGCCTTCGGATGTCTAGTCTAAACCTACTCTCTAGCAATTTATGGCCATTATTTCTTGTTACTCTGGGAGGCGCTTGGGGGAACAAGGTCTCTCCCAAACCCTGCTGGTCCCCCCCTAGCAGGGGGGAACATCATGACTGCTGTGGACTCCCAGTCAGCAGCTCTCATTTTGGATTTTGGAGCATACCCTTTTTGAAACAACTCCAGATGTACGTATTCATACCTGGTCATGTAGGAACCTAGTTTTGCAATGAGGATAAGGCTCCTAAATGCCTATTTTACTTGTGAAAATGAGAGTACAAACTTAAATAATTGGAGCACTTTTGAAAGTCTTGCTTTTAGTTTACACCACAAGTGTTATTATGTTTTAGTTAACACAATTATAAATTTTAATGCAAATGAGGTAGACATGCACCCACAATTTAACATGTTCTGAGTCACAAAGTTATGTTGGGCTGAAACCCTTTTAAATATTGGTCTCAAGTATGGTTGCATGTGACAGACTACCATGTAACACTGCCCTTGTAGGTTTCCACATTTATTCTCTTTTAAATTACTTCTGTGTTGACTGTGCTAAGAATGTACTGCCAACATGATTTGCTAATTGTTAGTCCCCTGGAACTAAAAATTAATGCAGATTCTGCCATGAGAACTAAAGTGATGGTTATATTGAGTCATCACGCTGTGCTGCAGCCTGCCACCCACTTGAACATGGGCATCAATGACAGATGGGAACAGGAGATAAAATCTCAAGCATCCTGAGGAGCTCCCTTCTGAGTAGATATTCAATGCATTGTTATCCACACTTGTCAGAGATCTGCAGGTTCTACCCTTTACTACTGTGGAAACAGCAGCTTATCATGCTAACAAAATAGTTTGAGTAGGGATGTTAAAATTCATTTATTTCAGACCTGAGAAAGAACACGTAAAATTCCCGTGCTTATGCGTAGAATAGTTGTTCAAATTTTGGCTTAGTCTGTATGATCCAGAGACCAGTAAACTACTGTCATAAGTGGATCCAGGATTGTAAAAGAAGGGGAAGGAGAGCCGGGAGCAGTGACTGTTGTTGTCGGGATGGCTGCATTCCCTTACTAACAATCTCTCTGTCCCCCACTGAGGTGGGTGGACCACACCATGGGAGCAGCAGCTGGGGACTTTAAGTCCCTGAATCAGGTAAGAATTCTCCATGACCCACTGCCAGTACCCCCTCCCTTTCTGTTGTGTTCAGTGGAGCCTCCCCTTCCCTCCAATTCCCTACCTCACCTTCTCTATTTATCCCTCTGGGTGCTGGGAGACCCACCTGACACTGGTGCTGTCCTGGATGCTCATGGCCTGCTCCAGATGTTCCTTCTCTCTCCACATGCTCCCATACTGGTGAGGAATACCCAAGAAGACTAGTTAAAGAGATGGAGAGCATCGCCACTGCTGCTGCCATTGTCCCTGGCTGAGCCCAGTTCCCCATGCATTCCATCTGGAACAGGGCAGGAGCAGCTCTGGAGCTTTTCCTGTACCTAAGTCAGTTTGGGGCAGCACAAGCACAGGTGGGGGTGGGAAGGGATGAGAGGGGAGAGGAGAGGAGGTGCCACTGAGCATGGAGGGGGAGGGAGGGTGTGCCAAGGTTGGAAGGGTTCTTACCTGTTTGGGGGACTTAAAATCCTCAGCAGCTGCTAATGCAGCATGGTCCAAAAATGAGGTGCAACCATGCCACTGCTCTGGGTCTTCCCCTAACTACTATGTATTTCAGATGCAGTAAAATGTAGGTAAGTTACTGCAGAAAATGTCATGAAAAATATTAATTATGTTGACATTTTTCATGGAAAGTGGTGGGTTTTTTTTATAAAGGTCAGTTTTCAATGGAAAAAAATATTTGCAAATTTCAGCAACTTTTCTGTATCATAGTCAGTGTGAAGTGCAACTTCTTGCTTTGCTTACCAGCCACATGCCCTGTC